TTTCTGAATTTCCGAGCTATCGTTCCAATTTAATACTTACCTTCCCTTGCCTGATGTTTGTGAATTTTGCGAAATCACGATTCACCCATTAGACGGTACAAAGTATACTGGCACTATCAGCTCGCCGTTGATGCGGTGGTGTGTGTACGGTGCAGAGTATAATATATGTAATACAAGGTGCACAATTATAAAATTGCCTTCGTGCGCAGCTGTATATGCAGTGTAGTAGCGGAAAAAAAGAAAAAAAAAAAAAAGGTTTCCAGCGTATTATGGGTATACGAGGATTATTATGAATGTGCTCTGCTATGCTCGCGCGCCATCAAGGCATTTATCAAGAATTAGAGTTTAATTGGAGGAAACGAAAGGTTAAGCGTTTATTAACATAAAAACTGCAGGCTGTACAGCAGTTCCTCGAGGAAGATGGAAAATCCTCGCGCGTATAAGTGCACGTGCACGAAAGTGTTACATAAATAAGGGAAAAAATGCGGTGGAGGTACTCGTGTTAGCGTGGCATTAAAACGTGTGTCAGGCGTGTAACCAAGAGAAAAAAAAAAAAAAAAAACAACAGTCAAGTACACATCTACTGCCGATATGGCTCTGCGACCACTGGAAACGTTTTTATTTTTCACCCCTATGCTCTCCCCCGCTCCTCTTTGACTTTACCCATCGTTCAACAACAATTACCTGCGAGCAATTTTATGTTAATCGTAATACATATTGTACTTATGTAACGAGCCTTTAAATCATGTAACGTATATGTGTGCACACAAAGTATGTGATGGACGATGAATAATGTGTGATACGTAAAAAATGATGCTTTGTGTGCATTGAGATAATTATACCTAATTGCTGCATTGAACGTAAGTATGATTACTTTATGTTTTTTTTTTTTTTTTTTCGTACATTTACTGATTTTTATTGAAGTGTGTTATAACAAAAACTAGGACGAAAATTCAACTCTATTATCTACATAAATTCATCCGACTAAAAATTAAAGTGAAGTGCAAGAAATTTGATAAGAAAAAAAAAACGTTTATTAAGTATTTGAAATAATTGGTCGAATATACAAACCCATTTGGTTTGAAAAAAAAAAAAAATTTGATTCAACAATAATTTATGTAACTTGGATCGAGCTCCTAATTAAACGAAGTAATAAAATTTAATAATTTATCCTGCTGATATGTTATTTCGCCAGAAAATAACGAGGAGCGATATAAAAAAAAAAAATTCCTCATGGAAACGAAAGCGAAAACACATCGTAAAGTACCGAGTTAAGAGATCGAGGGAGAGCGAAATCGAGCAGCAGATCGTACACACTCTTCGGCGGAACAATTACGAAAAAAAAAAAAAAAAAAAAGTTTAGCACTATAGCGCCTGCACGCGCGCAGAAAAACAGCCGCTGCTGTTGCTTCACTTTATATATATACATGTACAAAACATAATAGGGCTCTCTCGATGCATATTCATACGATCGTACATTACACTACCGGCGTAGGCGACGCTGTTTTAAGCCTCCCCGCGCACCAGATCTTAGATTAAGGTAAACGCCGGTTAAGTTAACGGCTAAGGCCCCCGCCGCCACATCGCACGTTTTCGCAGCGAGCTGGGCTCTCTCCCCCTTGCCACTTTTTTTTTTTTTTTTTTTTTCCACTCACTCGTGTGAATAAGCATGCGCGCGTACACTCGTACACGCGTGTAAGTTTGTTTGAGCTTTTGCTCCACACGCTTTTGCTTGCGCCGTTTACGTGGTCTCGAGTTGCCCGTTACTATGAATTCTCCCGATTTTTCATAATTTTCCACACATTAAGATACAGCAAGAGCCACAAGTGATTACTATCCTTTCGAAAATCTCGTAAGCTTGTACTATGATGATATAATATATATATATAAGTGAAACCAAATACCCCTAAAAATATTAAGCAATTTTTACTCTTTGAAATCCATAGATAAGCACACCAAGCCGCAAACTACAAATCAATGTACTTAATATCAAATGAAGTGCGCGAAGTATATAACACGCGTAAATTTCTAGCTCACTCGCAGGAGGCACAAATAAAAGAGAGAGAAAGGCTTTATACATATATACGGAAAGAGAACGAGCAGAGAGAGATGTATATGTTAGATGCCATCTCAGCAGGGGGGGGGAGGAGAGCGTTTGTTATGCTAAAGCGCTCATTAAGGATTATAACGCGTTTTCCGAGGCGCTCGAGGAAATTGGGCGCGCGAGAACCCACCGCCCGGAAGTATATTTTCTATTTTTCTCTTTTTCCCTTGTCTTGTTACTCATGTATTTTCTCGTGCGGGTCCGTACACCGTATGTGTATGCGCATCATAGGGGAGATGAATCGATAGCGCTGTTGCGCACGTTACCTCAATTTATATACACACACTCACTGGTTATTGTATACCCTGTACACACGTAGCGCAATGATAAAATTCATACACGATCGCAATCAAATTCAAATGTTTCGAGCACCTATTATCTATTTCCGCAAAGAATCAAAGAGTCGTTTTTTAAACTTGGGCATCAACGAACAAAGCCACCGTCGTCTTATAGGTTACACCACTTTCTCTCCAGTCGTTAACGACGTTTTTACGTTTTCCAACTAACTTATTTACAAGTGCTCCGTGCCTAAATATATACGCGAATCCGCTCGACTCCATTTCCTCGTACGCTATCTACCTGCGCCATCGGCGATTACACGCCACCCTTGTGTGTATATATATATATATGTAAACCCACCTATACGCAGGGTTTCGTGTAACTATAATAACACCTTTTGGAGGAGCTCCCGAAAATCGATTGTTCCCCATAATATGTAAATTGGGCCTAATGCACGTACACACCGAGGCTACTTAATTTTCTTGCCGAGTGGATGTGATATTGTAAAAGCCTACAAGTGCGCGTTATATATACGACGAAAGCCACTCGGTGAAAAATTGCTTTGGCTATACATGAAGACGTTTGTATAGCTACCGCACAGTGAAAACAATGGCCCAATTTCGAGTGAAAATAATTGTATCCACGGACAGCTATAGGCGAAAAGAAAGACGCAAAGTAGCACTCCATAAATCAGCCCGAGACGTCTTTGAACATTCACTCGCACGTTTTTCAGGCGCTGCTCGGCCGAATATATAATACATCACCTGCTTTTTTGTTCGTAGGTATATAGGAAAGATGGAGGGAAGGGGGACACAATTGCGCGCGAGTTCTCAAATTGACGGAATTCACGCGATGGCGCGCAACTGCGTTATATATACTTGCTATATTCGCGAGAGGAAGAGGCTAATAGCTGCGGATGGGGCGTGCTTGGAGCGAGTATAGATCGCGTTACACCTAAGAGCCCCCCATTACCGGCAATTTGCATTGATAGCAGCGGGTATGCGAGCAAGCGGCTCTGAAACCGATCTAAGAGCCACTTTGTTATCTTGCGCCTGAGAGAAGGCCCCCTCTCTCGCTTTTTTTTTTTTTTTTCTTTTTTTTTTTATAAACCATCTATCAATTTACCTATCTAAGAATCTCTTTTTTTTATTTTTTCTTTTTTTTTTTCATTTTTAAGTTTCCATGTGTAGCGTAGGATTATAGTTTTCTTTTTTTTTTTTTTTTATTTGCACCACCTACGATTAGTTAATCTACTATTTCATGTACGACAGTGGGGCAAAATTACTCCTGGTGCTGTTGAATTTTTTTTTTTTTTTTTTGTCGTTTTCTAAAAACTTTTTTTTTTTTGGGAGCGTTAATCGAGAAATAATGTGCTTTTGCGTGTGTTTGGATTACAGATAGCTCACGATTACGAGCGTTAAAAAAATACCGTAATTACAATATCATGAGAGCGCAAAAGAGGGTTTCTGTTTTTTTTTTTTTGTTTTTTTTTTTTATGTTTCAAATTAAGAATGTAATCAGTTAAGGAGTTCCATTCGCACAAGAGTTAATGGCCCTCGTGTCTCTGATATAATATCATATATACGTGGGAGCATATGTATATATGTACGGTATGAACAATCAAGATCTGAATTACCCGATTAGCCGTAAGAATATATACATATACGAACATCGACGAAAATAAATCATAACAAGTTTTTTAATGGATCTTAACGTTAGTGGAAGAAGCCAATCGTGCCCCCTCTCCCCTTCACCTTTTGGGGATTACGACGTAATTAAATCGACCATAATATATTTCCTCTGAAAAAAACAAAAGGCAAAAATGCTAATATACTGAACGGAAAACGGATTGACGTTTCCGCATCGGGGCATACAGCAACAATAACGATGATGATGATGATAATTTTTCGAGCGATCGAGACAATATTTGCATTCTACTCCAACAGGGGGGGGGGGTCGTGATTTCCTGCAGGTGTCTCTTGTATGCGGCGCAACGACAAGTACATATAGAACGCGTTAAGTGTACATAGGTACACACGAGAGGGTGGGGGTGAGGCTTTCCGCGCTAAGCTCAGCTCGTTAGTCGTACAAAGGGCGTCTTTCGCAGTCACAGGGGCCTTTTCGTGTATGACACATCGCGCCTATAGGACCACACGAGGCGAGGTGGGGAAGGTGCCACAAGCATATAGATCTTTCTCATGCCGATAAGGCCTTCGTACGTAATGCGACCTTAATCGCCCCGTGGCCGGCTATAGCCCCCGCTCGAATTTTTCGTTGTATTTTTTTTTTTTTTTTTTTTTTTTTTCATGGCTCCCCCGGCTTATCGCACTTCCGAATCTCGCGCTCGCTTTTTTCCCTTTCCACCCCTCCTTACGAACCCTCTCGCACGCTCTTTGTCCTCCGTTTTGACCGTGTGCGTGTGCCCTCGCTAAGCGGCGCAAAAGTACCCGGCACAGCCGAATCGTGTTTTTTTTTTTTTGCATGCGTGTGTAATTGCTCGTTCTTTCCTTTCCTTCGGCACGACAGGCGAATTTGCAATTAACGCCACTTGGAGTGCCATTGCGGGTTGCGTGTGGATTAATATGTACATGTTATATGGACAAACAACACACGCGCGCACCTGTTTAACGGACGATTATTTTATTGTCGAAACAATCTAGAAGAGCATGTACTTTATGAATCCGATGAAATCGTTGATCAAACTCAGAGGACCGGCCAAGTAGGCGCGCAGACAGCTGACCTCCATGTTCAGGGTTAACCACCTGCACTGGGCCACCCCCGTTTCTCGGGGGTTTTGTCCCGGCTCGTTCTCCGCCGAGCCACTAGGACCGTCTTCGTCGGAGGCCTCCGAGTCTCCCGAAGAGTCGCCGCTGTCGGAGGCGCCCGATCCGTTCGCAGACGATGGGTCGTCCGAGTCGTCGCTGGAGTCCCCATCGCTGTCGCTTGTATTTTCGCTGTCCAGGTCCCCAGAATCACCCTCCCCGGAAACACTGTCGTAGTCACTGGAGTTACCATCGCTGTCGCTTGTATTTTCGCTGTCCGGGTCCCCAGAGTCGCCGTCTCCTGAGTCCCCGGAAACACTGTCGTAGTCACTGGAGTTACCATCGGTGTCGCTTGTATTTTCGCTGTCCGGGTCCCCAGAGTCGCCGTCTCCTGAGTCCCCGGAAACACTGTCGTAGTCACTGGAGTTACCATCGGTGTCGCTTGTATTTTCGCTGTCCGGGTCTTCAGAGTCCCCGGAACCACTGTCGGGGGACCCTCCCTCCTCGGAGGGTGATGTCTGCCGGGTCAATCTACGCTGCAATCGGACCAACAGTTCACATTTCAATGGGACATTGCAAACAGAGAGCACGACGTGCGGAAAATTACAGACTGACACCAAGGGGAAAAAACATTACTAAGATGATTGTCACATTATGTATTCGAGATACGAACCAATTCGGACTCGAGAGAACCCTGCGGTGCTCCTGGCAGGCTTTTACCCTAAAAGCACACGTGTGTCCTTTAAATTAAGCACCGTTTTTATCACGATACGTGTATTCAATGATCGTGCAGTGTTTATGAAAACCTCACCTGGCAGCATTGGGCTGCGTGGAAAATAAGGTAGACGCAAAAGATGTAAGTCCCTTTCAACATCGTTATTCGCACGAGACCTCCTGCCACTTCGACTTTGAAACTCGAAATGTGAATTTTGCCATAGTTTTTTTTTTTCTTTCGCGTCCTCAAGTACCGATTGTATGCATGTCAAGGGTAGATAAATGCAGGAAAAACATTGCGATAAAGAAAACAAAAATTACACGTATCGGCCTTCGCGTGCAGTTTTCTTATCTGAACGAGCTCCGCTTGTCCGTGAAAAATGAACAACGTCGCCCAAATTGGGGGCTAATTATATACATCGAACGCACACACAATCAATCGTTGCGCACGATAATATTTCAACATTTAAACATAATCACGCATACAACAATGGCTTATTTTCGCAAAACGGGTTCGCACTAATGATTTAATAAACGCGAACAAAAAAAAAAAAAAAAAACAATTCCCTTACATGAGCGTATAGGTACACGCGCGAGAAGGCGCTGATTAATGTTAATTAGCATAATTAGCCCACCGAACGGGCCGCTTGTTCCAATAAAGTTTCCCGCCGACTCGCACGCCTATACGTTCTCACCCGCAGCGGCTCCATCGCAACGTGCCACCCAAGCATCGATGGGTGTATGTATAGGTACGTGCATGCGAGATTTCTCGATCGCCGATCACTGCGCCGTTCAGCCCTCCAACCGATCTATCCACGCTCGGACGGCCATATCGTACTTACCTCCACTCCGGAAGCCTATCGGCGCTCCCCTTGACTCGTGCACGTAATCCCGATAGATCTTCCGTGGCTGTTTCTCCTCTACCTCTACTTTTCAATTTTCCTCGCGTATCATGGCAATGCCCCATCGAATTCGAATAATCGGGCATGTATATACACACATGTACGAGCACAAGCTGTTTCAAGCGCCATGTATAGCGTGATGGGTTTAATGTCGATTAGTACAATTGACTATTTCAATGGTATTCGTGCTTTTTTCGAGCAGTTTATTTTTTTTTTTTTTTTTTTTTTGTTGCATTTTTCAGTTTATTTCCCGGAGGAGCCGATCATCCACGTATTCCTCCTCCAAACAGTCGGCGAGTTGACAGCCGAGGCAAGCAAATCGCGCGCGAGCAGTATAACAAACGGTCCGGACAAAAAGTTTGCCTTTATCCATACAGCCAGGGTAAAGCAGCCGAGCAACAGTAACAACAACAACACGGATATATCTCGGGGAAAAGATCTCCTTCCCTGTTATGCGTGCAGCAACCAAGTAAGTGAGTAAGTAAGTAAATATATATATACAGGTCTCTCCGAAAGTGAACTCAAGACGTCGGCGAGGGGTATAACGTATATTTGTATGTGTACGCGGTCATTAGCATAGAAACAGCGGTAAACTCGGCTAGCTTACCGAGCTAACAGCGTGTAAAATAACTGCTAAGTTGCCAAGACAATGCGCGAGCATGTATATATACACGTATATATATATATGTTATACACGTCAGACCAGCAGACTTTGCTCGCGTGGATTACTTCCTAGAGTTGATAAACCCCCCTCCCCCCCACCTTCGTATACCTGCGTTGTATACGCTTGCGGTTGTGCCTTCGCCCCATTGTCTTGTTCCCTCTTGGCTGCTGCTGTACTTCCGGCGGGACGCTTTAGCGGCTCCTTACGTCACTTTCAGCGCGTTTTGGCTCTCTAGAGCTTGAGGAAGGAGGAAAAGGAGACCAGGCCAAAGGAGAGAGGACAAAGGATACGAGCACGGCACTGGCGGGAGTCGGCGAGCAGGAAAATCTTTTCCTCGGCTTTAATTTTTATTTTATTTTTTTATTTTTTTTGTTATGCGTTATCGAGGAGGAGGTCGTGGTCTATACATGCACAACAAGATGTGGCAGTTTTGTTTTGTGCTGATCTTTTGAGAGAAAATTAGAAATGAACCTTCGTACCTACGTTTTCCCATCAACTGTACACAAGTTACAATCGAATGTGCAATATTGAGGGCGCAAAACAAGTTTTTCTCCAACAAAGCGTTTAGTTCGATTGAGCTACACGCGCACACGTACAATACGCCGGAAAGGAGAAAAAGAAAAAAAAAAAAAAACCACAAAAGACTGATTACACTCGAATATGTGAAGTAGGGCTGATTGAGATCCCTCTCTAGCTTTGCCACTTAGCTGCCGTTTTATGTGTAATACGCGTTCTTTTTCGGGTACATACGTACTTACGAATATCTAAGATCGATCGGCAAATACGAGCACGCGAAGCTCGATTTAAGCTTCCATCGCGTTGAGTACAGCGTTGAAAAAAACACGATTTGATTTGAGAAGCTGCGCTACTTTTGTTTTTCGCTCCAATCACCGAGACAGGAACTTTTCGATATTTTGGTAGTATGTAGAGTTTGTGCGTGATAGAAAACCCCGAATTTCCAGTTGGAACGTCATATTGTATAATTACCTCGTTGCCGGAAACACTTGAATTTGTATCGGTTCGTAGTTTTCCTATTTCCTCGTCGACGTCACAGTCTGTACTCTCGTGCAATAAATATTCGCGTAAACGACGTCCAAACAGTACAAATACATTGAATATATACTGAAATATATATATACGTGAATCCCTTGACAACGTACGCAGATATTTTAAAATGTAATTTTGATGATTCCTTGGCTTTGTATTCACCGTAGATTGTGCGTCCTCGAAGCACATACGAAATCTTGTACAGCTTAGTATCGTAAGAATATGCGTATGAGGGCATGCCGAGGGTGGCTTTGGTTGCTTTTCGCCATAACGGGAAACTTGCAACAATGAAGCGAGCATCTGTGCGTCCCATCATATACTTAATACTTTGTTGCGAGGAAATCACCACGGTGTGGTCGCGTTTCGCAACGGCCGGATACGGTTGCCTAAAGAGCGTTAAAACTCGCTCGGCGCATCGTGGCGAAAATCAGAGGAGACCGTTATGCCCCGCTTGTGCCACAATGGCCCTGCACTTCCGTTTTGTTCGAGCGAACTGATTCCTCCTTCCTTTTCGATGTTAAACATTTGTGCCTTTTTTTTTTGTTCGGCCAACTCTTTGCGTCGACCTGAGGTTTCACTATGAGACATAAAGGCAAAGATTTCGTTACACGCTCTTTTCTTTTCTTTTCTTTTATTTTTTTTTTTTTTTTTCAAACGCCATTGCTCGATAGGAGTGACCATTGTATTTATAACGAGCAAAAATGTGACATTTACGTGAAAATTACTGTTTGATAGTTAGTCACGTGAATTATCAATTTTTTTAAATAGATGGTTATACGCGTTTGTAGCATACCCTGCGATGGCGTCAAACCGGCTGAGTTTCATTGATGAGAAAAAATTTACCAGAACCAAGACTAAGAAAACAAAATTTTAATAATAATAATAATATTTTGCAGTAAAGGCTTAAACGCTTGAACGTAATTTTTCTTTTTTTTTTACTTTTTGCTCAATTTAGCCATTATAGTTGGTATTTCCGGTAACTCGTTAACTTTGTAACCTTAGCGATGAAAATAACGCGTTGTTTAAAATTAATTTCCAAAAGAACGCCAAAAGGAGTCGCGAAGCACTAACTGTCATTATATACTTAAATAAGAAAAAAATTTTCTGTATGTATAAAATTGTCGTAGAGTCGAGAAGCGCGTGAATTACGTACAGAGCGAAAAAGAAAAAAAGAAACAGTGGAAGTGCTATTTGTGAATAAGCTCATCGAGACACTTGACGTGCCCAAACAATCGGCGTGATTCCTCGAACGCTTTCGAATTCCCTGTCTTCATTCCCCATATAGCCGCTTCATTATTATTAAACTCGTGGGTAAATTTTAACGTGTAGACGCGCGCATGTGCATCCGACTATTTTCACGCCAGTGCACTCACGTATAGGTGCACACGCGCGATGTGCTTGTCTCTCTTTCTCTCTCCGTCAATTTTGCAACACGAAGCGCAATTAAGCCAATTATATGTACACACTGACGTGCAGAGCGCGACTCATGGATATGGAGGAAAAAAAAAATGAATGGGCTCGGTGTGTGTGTGTGTGTGTACAAAGAAGGAGAAGGAGAGACACGAAGTTACGTAAAGTAATTGGTCCCGCGGATTTCCTAAAACGATAATATTAACGAGCCGGCTAAGTCGCGCGCTCTTCGACGCCTCATCGCCACTGTACAACGTATGGGTATATACGGCCCCGTTTCACACGAGTAACGCCGAGCGATTGAAGCGTTTGAAGCACATGTAGTGATTCTCTCGGTTATACATGTTTTTGATCTCGAAACTTCACACGACCACGATATTGGATGGAAACAATGCCAACAGCACTCGCGCACGCGACGATTGACGCTTGTGAGGATTGACGAGTCTTTTTATTGCCCCGCGCGATCATTTATTCGATGAACCCAAGTAATCCCACCGGTAGTGGAGAGAAATAAAATTATTTTTTGCCAAAAGATAATAGGTAGAGGGAAAAATAATTACCGCTATCATAATCTCGCGTACAATGGGAGCATTTTTCCTCCTACCCCCTCCACTTGCCGATCAGGGACGATCTTACACCAGCCGCAGAGGGGAATAGTTCCTCGGACGCGGCAATAAATATCAATTGCACATCTCCACGATATAATAGCGCATATACGTGGCCCGCGCACCCAAGCCCCACCGTATATATACGAGGTACCAGCGCGTAAGATATATATCTACGCGCACAAGCGCATATTGCACGAGCGTAAGGACGACGGGATGTAATTACCCCCACAAGCACCTCTCGTTCTCCCATATCTCCCACTCGGATACTAAGTGTTATCGTTAAGACGCAGACTCGCGTGTAGTAGGTGTATGTATGTATACGCATGTGGTCACATATACATATAAATAAATGTAATCGCGATACCTCGCTGTGTATATCTAGATAGTTTTTAATTCTCGGTAAAACAGATAAGTATGTTGTTATCGCGCGTGGCGTATACACGGCGCCGCTATAAACGCGTGCGAATAATATGTACGTATATCCTTTCTCTTCCATTTTTTCCTTCCTGTTGCCTCCCCCCCCCCCACCCCCACCCAATCTTACCAATTGTTTATTTGACTC